TTTTGTTTTCTCAGTATTGAGGGGAACAAGTGCTTATTAATCTGAAATAAATAAGCTGAGGGTTAAAACTGATGACTGATAAATCTGCTTTTATAACAAAAAGAGATTGTAATGATAAAATATTATCTGACAGTTTTATGACCTTTTACAATTTGATTTCTGAATATATGAAAAGAGGATTTATTAACTTACATAAGAAACTTGAAGGACATCAGTGAAAGTTCAAAATTAATAAAGTTTGCATAGAACTAATTCTTAGGCTAGAATATCTACAAAATAGGTTCTTGGAAGTAAAATTCTTGAAAGAAGAAGAATCTAAGGGATTTCATAGTATCTGCTTGACATTAAATTAATGTTACCATTTAGGAGATTTAAGTGAATAGAAAGGTGGTGTGTTTCTGCCTTAGCCAAGGAGGCAAGACTCATTTAAGACAGTTACTTGAAACTCATGCTGAAATGTGGATCTCTAGGGTTAAGTACTGATTTCACTGGTTCACTGTAGCAAGGGAAACTCACAGGAGAGGAGGTGGGTGGGTGCTGTGGCCCCAGCCTGTCCTCCAGCCAGTGGCTCTGAGAAAGGATTTGACCCCCACCAGTGAACAGAGAGCAGGACCACGTGTTAGCACAGCCCCGCCCGTTGCCGCACACTGAGCCTTACCAGATTGCAGAGGATGAGCAAGGCTGATTTCAGAGTAGGAGTAAGATAAAAGCAAGTGGTTTTTTGTTTGTTTGTTTTCGTTTTTGTTTTTGTTTGTTTGTTGTTTTAACTCTGCAGAACTAGGAAAAGAGAGTATAGGTCCCAACAGAAGGAAAACATACCACTGAAAGTGATGGGAAAAGGTTCAGATTTTTTTCCCTCAGAAAAACAGTATGAGGCTTCCTCCAAGATATGGCTTCTTCGAAATGAGGTGTGAAAAGCCTTATGGAGCAACTGACAGTTTAAAAGAGAAGAGAATGAAACAGAGGACCCCTTAAGGAAACTGAAGTGACAGTAGTGGAATCACAGTGCACTGTCTTTAAAGAGCAGAACACAAGTTGCAGAATATGGAATCCCAGATGGTGGACAGCACCTGAGAAGACAGCGCAAAGGGCAGAGAAAATGTAAAAACAGGAAATATTTTGAGAGATTATAGATGCAGGGGATAGAGAAGTATAATTATCCATCCATTTGCTGGTAATTATTCACCATATGGAAGGGTGACTGCACTCCTGGAAAAAGTCTAGAACAAAAGGAACAGAAGCAATGTTGAAAAATATACCGGAACACTTTTCCATACTGGCTGAAAAGTGTTCTTTTACAATTATTTTAATCTCCTCTGTTCCTGCCTATGTCCCTGTTCTTCACAGCTTTAAGGATGTGAGCAATGTAATTCAATACAAACTTTTTGATCATAGGTTAGCCAGTCTCACAGGTTAAAAACAACTCGCTGAACTTTATTTTGTATTTCTCTTACTGTGAAAAAAGTTATTTTCACTTGTTTAGGAATGACATTTCGTTTTTTTAACACTGTTTCGTTCTGTACCTGTTTTCTACTGTGCTGTAGCTCTTCTTTTTTTTCCTTCTTCTTAACCGTAGCTTTTCGGATGACAGGGAGAGCTGTCGGCAGAGCGTGATTCCGGGGGAAGTGCCCAGGGGACCTCAGATGCGAAAACGCCGCTCATCTCGGCCTTCCTGGAGTTGCAGGATAAAACCCCAAGGAGCTCAGACTCCCTGGTTCGTTTGTGGGAAAAAGCAGGCGGTCATGACCTCGACGTGACTTGAACACGCAACCTTCTGATCTGGAGTCAGACGCGCTACCATTGCGCCACGAGATCGCGAGGGAAAGCTGACTTTTGATCTTTTAAGGCTCTTCCCTCCTGCACATCCCAGTCGCTTTCCTATTATTGCTCCTTCGTTTTTCGGGTGAACTTCAGGTCAAACGATAGGAAAGGAGAGAGGGGCAGGCCCTCGGCGCGGCTGCGCGAGCCCCGGGACCCTCAACCCAGGCTGCAAGACTGCAAAACCCGAATCCGGGTCCGCGGAAGGATGGAGGGAGTGATGGTGCAGGAAAGGGTTAAAGGCGGAAACCAAACCCGGACTCTGCAGGCACACCTGGGAAGCGACTTGGCAACTTATT